AGAAGACACTTGAAGATGATAAATATGGATAGCCTTTGGCCCAAGATACTTATTCACATGGGGGAAAAATACAAAATAAAGGAAAAGGAGGATAAGTCTATAATTGATCATATAATTGGGAAGTAAAGAAAATAGGTTTGAAGTCTTTCAAGAAAAGGAGGAAGAGAGGAAAGATGTACTAAAAAATTAAGATTTGCATTAGTTTAACTTTATAGACTTTATCCATAGGGAATTGAAGAGGAAATACTCAATATATAAGAAATATAAATATAATATAGAGGATAAACATTATTGCTAAACAAAGCCAGATGAGTAATTAGGGATGCATAAAATGATAAAAAGAAGGAGAAGGTGTCATTTAAATGGGTCAAATCTCAACATTTTTAATCATACCCTTAACATAATTCTAGAGGGTGAGCTTTTTTATTGAAAAACATGCTTATGATTGGTTATTGCAAGGAGTCATTGTAGTCACTGAAGAGTGAAATGTAGTTCTTTTTTATCCTTTAACTATAGAACACATGGACATTCCTAATTTATATCATATGGGGCAAGCTTGAGATGTTAAGTAGTAGGTGGTGACATGCAAAAGGTTTAACATTGATAGTTTTGCCACCTATCCATAACGCAACATCTAGAAGAAAATTATTGTCTAAACCTTTTATGTAAGAAATTGATGCAAGATTAGATATATAATTAATGTCACATAATTGGAAATTGGCATATATTATTTGGGGTGACCACACAGGAGATGAGGTACTCGCCAAAGTGCTAGAGGAGAATTGAGGAGACAAAAGGGGCTCGATAAGCATTGATTCTAAAAGTTGCAAACAAAAGCTAGGAGTTTGGTAAGGAGTCGACAAATAACTATATAAGATATGTCAATTATAGGCTTGAAAGCTAGGATTTTGGTTAGGAGTTGAAAAATAATGATATAGGAGATATTGCTATAAAGCCGCTAAATAGATGGTTGATGGATCCAAAAGAAATATTGGAACTAAGCAGTTTTATGTGCTTAGACAACATCAAAGAAAACATTAGTTATGTACTACCAGGTAAAATAACCTACCGATATAGTAGAATGCCAAAAGAGGTAATTGGGCTTAGAGAGCCTTGGAAGTTGATCTTGTGTTGAAAGAGGTAATTGGGCTTAGAGAGCCTTGAGTGATTAGGCTTGACTAATCTAGTGGTTAATTTGAATTGTAAATATTGAATGATTTAATCAAAGAAGGAAAAAAAGGGGAGATGATAGGAAATGATTCTAAAAGTGGTAGCTAAAAGCTAGAATTTTACATAGAAGTTAGAATTCTAGTCAAAATTCAATAAGTAATGATATAGAAGATAAAAACAATAGAGTAAAAAGGTAGAGGATTAATAAATATGAGAGAAAAGTTGAAACTAGGATGTTTGCCATATTTTACTGGCAAACATCATTCATGAAGTTGTGAGGAAGATGATAGAAAAATCTAAGTAGAATGACAAATCGGGTAACTAGACTAAGAACCTTGGGACTTGGTCATGGGTTGAGTTCTCAATTTGATCAGTTTGGCGAGTTAACCCTAACAGTAACTATCAAAGTAGCACATATCAAACCTATATTGAGAGCAAAAAATTAGGTGTTACAGTCCATGGCTTTGAATTGCTCTCAAGAAAAATATTACTTCAACATACAAAATATTTAACAATTATCATTATTTCTTGTCAATCTCAAATTTGATCTCTAAACTTGCTCAAAATTGTTCCTATCAATTTAGAGTGCAATATGTCATATTTATTGGCTTCATGGTGTTGAGAGCTTTGGAATGGTAAATCATACTCATTAATCAAATACTTCAACAATAATGACCATCAGAACACTAACATGGCACCACCACTATTGATCATTGGTTAATTGCATGCCATTACAACATCACAATCAAATTGATTAAGTTTATCAGGGAAGGATGTGTTTAACCAAATCCATTGTTAATAAGAATATAAAATATTCCAATATATTACCAGATAATAATACCTCACTAAAAGAGATATAAATATTTCACAACTTCAATTATTTTATATATAATGAATTCGTATATCATAGATAGTTCCAGAGTGATAATTTTTTCTTGAAGCCTAAAGTTGGTGATCCCAACTCCAATTTATTCACTAATTTCAATTAACTAGTCATCCCCCTCTTGAAGGAGAAGGTCTATTCATGTCTGCTCACCATTGTTGCTAGAGCTATCACCTTTTGGATTTCTCACTCCACCACAATATGAGTGTTTTCTATAATGTTAACCTTTATATTGTATTGATGCCTTCTCCAATGTAGAAGGGTGGGCATCTAAAACATTAGACTACAACAAGTAAAATTTTTATCTTTAATAAGATCTGTGATTTTTCTCTTTAATGAGTTTTTCATGTATGAAAAATAATGTATTCCTTATTGTCTTCATTCATCTAATTGTGTGTATATCACCATTTGAAGCAAAGAAGTTAAAGCATCACACTTGCTAACGACATAACTTCTAGTATGTGATAGACCTAATTTTCGCCCAGGAAACTCATAAGAACAATAAATGAGCTCTAATTATAGTTCAAGATTAGCTTAAAATTCTTTGTTGTCATCACAAATTGAGTCAAGCATTGTTATATCTTGGTTTTGTTTTATCTTAATTCCAACAAAATTTGGTTCATAAATATTAGTTTATTCGAGATAAAACTCTACTCCAATGTATAACCATGTATTAATCTATATAAAGATGTAGCTCATCTTGATATGTTGGTTGAGAGTTTTATTTATCAATCAAGAGGTATTGAATTCAACGTATGTGATGTGTGTGAGTTTGTCTTAATTGGCTCAAAAGTCCCAAACACAAACACACACACACACACACACACACACAGATATATATATATATATATATATATCAATTGTGCCTAATTCATTAGTTATAGTTGATCATTTATTCAATTTATGATAGATCCGACGCAAAACCCTAGAAAAATACAAGTAGCAAGAGTGTTTCTTCTAAGTATTCTTTGTCAAGTACTCCTCTACTACACAATTCTCATTGGCGTATTGGTTGAGAGCTAAGGCTTCCAACTAAGAGGTCTAGGGCTCGAGTCTGTGTGTATGCGTTGGGTGTGAGTTTGCCTTAAATGGCCTAAATGTCAAAAAAACAAAAAAATACTCCTCTACTAGCTCTTCTACTACCAACTTTAGAGCTCATTTTCCTAATTTGGAGCATTTAGAGTAGAATATGGATTATGCTTTAGTCAGTTCTATTTTACTCTTGCTTTTTGGTACATTTTACTTCAAAATTTTCCTTAAAATAGAAATTAATTTGTACCTGTAAAATATAGAACACTTCAAAAAAAAAAAAAATTTTTAAGCAAGTGGACTGTGCAGCTTAGCTGTTTATGCTTCATGCTGACTCTTTCATGTTCCCCCTCATATGGCAGTCATGAATTTCTCTTGTCCCCTTTCTTCTGACAGGTAGATGTCCAAACTGTAGATGGTTGAATACCTAAAACTGCTTAAATTTATCTCATTTATGACCAGTTTCATGGATTCAATGATGAAAAGCCAACTTTATACTATATATAAGCTCAAATAATTTTATTATTATTATACTTTATTTTAATAGATGGGCTAGTTTAACTTGAATGTTGGAGGCATCATCATTATCATCATTAGTTTTATCCCAATTATTTAATTATAATTTTTCAAATTAATCATTTTCCATTCATCCCTTCTAATTATAATCTACCTGCTATGTTAAAATCACTGGAGTTAACCCAAAGATGCTTAGTTTGGTTGGTGGGTGAGTACGATTGGGAACCCCCAACCCGTGTTCGATTCCCCTCAAGCGGCAGTGTCTCTTAAGTCGGGTCCCAATAAGTGCGGGTCAGGAGGTTATGTAGGAGTAGATGCCTCTTCCAGGTCAGCAGAGGGATTAGTTACACCACCAAGCGACTCAGAAGCTGAGGTGGCAACGAGTAGATACCCCTGTTCCCAAAAACTAAAAAAATCTAACTCCATGGCTAAATGGCATCATGCTTGATTGCACTATTTGTGTATGTCAGATCTTTTCTTGGAAAAAATAAAAATAAAACTATCACATAACTTTATACTATATTCCAACATCATCTTTGCATTTAACAAATGAAATGAAATAAAGCCTATGATTTTACATGATTGTGAAGATATAACTAAGATATGTTATTTTAACACTTAAATTTAGCACAAGGAGAAAGACTAATTGGATGATGTGATAAGCACAACTATATCAAAGAACATTATGATCAAAGACAACTGAGGTGTTGGTGATGGGCAATAACAACAAATTATTATGATGATTTTCTAAGCCAAGGCGGCTTTGGAAGCAACCATATGTCCAATAAATGCTAATTCATGCTCGTGCTTCATTTGAAGTAATAAAGACAAATAAATATTTTTATATCCCTTCAAATACATCACTCACACATCAGAAGATCATAGTTTAAATTATTACAGGCTGCTTCACTCTCCTCTTTAGCTCTTTCAGTTTATTGTGGTGATTGTTACAGCTTGCTGGGCTCATTTTCCTTTTTTTTTTCCCTTTAAATCTGCATAGACTATGCAATTTCTATGCACCCTTCTTTAAATATGAAGCCTAAGAAGGTTCAGAAGAAAATAATGAATATAAGATGAAAACGGTACAGTGATTCTGGTTAACATTACTTGAAAATCTAAGTAAGCGCAGAATGTGGAACCTGCAGAGAAAGCTAAGTAGGAAAGATTTAGAGTTAGTTATAAGAGTTTTCAATTTCAAAAGAGCTCCCAATGTATCAATGAGCCAAGAACAACTTCAACAAAGGAAGATTTAGGCTTTCGTTTGGGATGGCTTTCTCACTACTTCTTAAAATGACTTTTTAATACAAAAAATTAATTTTTTGAACGAAAAAGCTGCTTTACAAAGCAATATGAAAGCCGTCCCAAACGACGCCTTAAATGCCAATAGTATTATCAATACACAGATAAAATAAATATTTATTGCATAACAAATACTTAAACATCTCCTTATAGGATACAACTAATATATAAACTCTTAAGCAATCAATAATGCAATATCATATCAGAACATTGATGCCTGGTCATTTGGAATTTAACTTCTCTTACTAAATAAGGGAAAAAATCAGTAACTTGGGCATGCAAGGTTTACAAAGGAGGAGGCTCTGAGATCATTTTATTGAAATTTCAATCAGCAGCAAGAAAGGCATTTGATGGGCAATTATAATCATTTGTATGTTCTCAGATACAAATTATGTTAAAAAAATCACATCAAATATAATATATGATAGCTTGAAAAATCATAAATTAATGTCAAATTGGTGGTTTGGAATAGCCAAGCTGTGAAAGCTCCCAACTTGTCCGAGATGCAACTTGATCGTGTCGCGGAGTATATAGCTGCAATTCCAAGAGAAATTTCTTATTTTTTCAGTTTGTTTTCTGTTTAGAATAAGTATATAAAACATATGGCAGGCTACCTCCATTTTTTCTAGCAGTTCATTTGCTTTTGCAGCAGAAATAACTATCTCTCTTGCAGATGTCTTTATAAAACCTTCCTCTACACCTTTGTCAAATAATGCAAGCAAGGGATTGTAATAACCATCAACATTCAATAGGCCAACCTGAACATCCAGTAATTTGAAGGAATTTTCAATATTCTGCTGGTAGAACTTTAATTTCTCAAGAAAGTATATTAAGCCTCACAGGTTTATCATGTATTCCTAGTTGTGACCATGTAATCATCTCCAAGAGCTCCTCCATTGTTCCATATCCTCCTACATGATTAGAAAACAAATCATATATTCTGTTGAAAAATAATCAACTAATGGTTCTGCAAATCAATGAAAATTTACATGGTCCATAAGGGCATCTCCAACCGAAAATCTCATTTTTCACTCCAAAATGTAGTGGAACTAAAAAATGGAGTGATGCATCTCCAATCGAACTCCATTTTACGCCCTTCGTAGAAGGTAACTGTCTTTCTTCTCTTTCGCGTGTTTCTTCGGCAAATCCGGTAGAGACAGAAAAATAAAGCAGGTGAACAGTGCGACTGTTCACCCGCAACCAAATACCGGAAGTTTTGCCGTTCGGCTGGAGCTCGCGAGCGACGCCATTCATGTTTTTGGAGTTCGGTTGGAGATGCCCTAAAAGCAAAAAAAAAAGTACCAGGAAGAGCAATAAAGGCATCCGATCGTCGGGCCATTTCAGCCTTTCTCTCATGCATGTCAGAAACTTTTTTTACTTCTCCAATAGTTTCACCAGATATCTGCTTTATGGTGAGAACATAAAACAAGGCCTGGTTCATTACATGAGATTCTTCTCAAATCTCAACAATAAAACTACTTCAAATGAGGTAGTCAAACTTGTTAACCAGAAAAGATTTTGGCGTGATTAACAGGAGCTAAAATATTTACATCAACAAATATTACTTTGCTAATTAAAGAAATCAGCCATTATGAACTTTTAGTAGCTCATTTTATGTGATGAAATCATTCAACAAATTTCCAACTAAATTAACATATTTGTAGAAGTTTAAACTAAAAATACAATGAGCAGACTAAAAAGTCTTCAACATTTGCAGATTAGAACATAGTAATGAAAGTGCTTTGGAGCTGTAGCAGAGAGGAAATACAAACACTGTTGGCTAAAACATGTACATAATCTTTCATTCTATATGAGAAATACAACAAGATGAAAAATTTTAAACAGTAATTTTGATGAAGCATATTTCAACACCCTTTCAAAAACTTTCCAATGGTTGAGAAGTCAAGGAACAAAGAAACTCTTTTTCTTTTTTACTTTATTTTTAGTACAATAAAAAAAATCAGTTAAAAGTTTTAAAGATGTCACTGGGGCCTCAGGTGAAAATAGAAAAGATAGAGATCATTTGCAAGGATGTTGAATCCAAAAATACCCCGTCAGTAAAACTAGGCGTCTTGAAAAGACTAGTAAAAAAGAAGAAAAATGAGTTCCTACTTTGTAGACTTTCTTACCTCTATAGGCATAAGAGCAGAGGGAATGATCCTGCTTGCCGGCAATGAAACATATCAGAACAGCAGGTAAGGCTCAATAAGAACCAACAGATGAAAAGTCAAAAAATTTTGAAAAGTTTTTTGACAAATAAATTCAAACAGTTGGAAAGCGTAAAGTCTAGCAAGTACCCAAGAACATCACATCCCCCAGCATGAACAGTTTGGGAGATCAAACCCATCAATCCCACGCTTCCTCCACCATAAACCAAATCTATTCTTCGCTTCACCTGCAATCAAAGTTAAAAAAAAAGGCTAGAAATTTCACAAACCACTCCAAAATGGAATCTTGAAGAGAAGTATAAGAGAGGGGGCGCGCACCAGTTCTCGACCCAAATCCAGAGCAGCATCACTAAACACGGCTCGATTGCCGGAGTTACTCCCACAATAGACGCAGATTGTCTTGAACCGAGTACGAATCTCCCCATCCATGGCTTTTCAGCTTCCTCTGATTTCCGCTTTGGTCTCTAAAGCGAAAATGGCAGAACAAGATACAATAGAAGAAGGGAGCGGATGCCAAAGTTGGAATCTTTTTATACAAATCCTGCCATTTGTCTTCTCTGAATCTGATAGAATCCCAAAGCTCCACGCTTTCTGTTTCCACCTTCACCTTCTTTTTCAAAGGCAGAACAGAAACACTATCCTTGTTGTCTTCTTCAGTTCTTTTCATTCAGGGCGGTGCGGCCGGAGTCCAATAGAAAAAAGGCTGAGTAATGGCACGGGGCGCACGCGGAATTCTCTTAAAAGTCGCAGCTTTGGTTATCTCTGGATTAATTTATCTATTTGATGTGGTGAAATCATGATGGTCTCTGGGTTAATTTCTGAGAGGAATGGAAGGCAGGGGACCGTCATGATTGTCTTGATTGGGTGGATCAAAGCCATGCACTTTGGATGGAATTTTTTTGATGGGATTTTTACATACCTAACCCTTAAAACTATTCTATTTACTTAGTTAACACCCAAACTTTACTATTTACTATTCTACCATCTAAAAACTCTTGCTCGCATCAAAACTACCACTCTGTAACCTTCCGTCAAATAACTCACCCCGACGAGCGTCAGGGGCGTTTCCTCCGGGCGGAGACTGAGTGTGAGGGAAAAAAAAACTTCCTCCGGCAGTTTACAAAGGCGTCCTACCTTCCTCCGGCGTCGAAATCGCCGTGAAACGCATCTCCCACGATTCCGATGGATGACGACGTGTTCCAACGGAGCAGCGCCGCCGCCTCACCCGAACTCGTGGGTGCAGCGCTTCTGCATCCTTCGCGGCGTTGCCTCCGCGCTGCTCTACCTACATGAAGAGTGGGAACACGTCGTCATCCATCGCGACGTGAAAAGCAAGCAATGTGCTTCTCGACGGGAACCTGGACGGTCGGCTCGGCAACTTCGGGCTGGCGAAGCTCCAAGAGCACGGAGCCAGCTACAGTCTTGGCATGATCTGTTTATACTATTTGGAAAACAGGGGACTCGGAGCATCTCTAATGGCAAAAGCTGCCATGGCTTCTCATCCTGAAGCTCTCCACTCCCTCTCCATCATTTAATTCAATGGTAGCGGTGGATCTAAGAACGACAAAGATCTCCGCGCCGGCGTCGCTCTTTGTACCCGCGGCCTATCACGGACACATAGACGTGATTCGTGAGCTATTCATGGTGGCTATGAAGTGGAGGAGGCTGAATTGGCAGTTAAGATCGGGTTGCTTTGCTCTCAGCCGGTTGCTGCGATGGAGATCGGCGATGCTGGGTGAACGGAGCTGAACCTGCGCGGAAGATCAAGGGAAATAGACATCGATTGAGCGAGAAAAGATTGTCACCTTGCCGGCGGAGAGAGGCGAGTTCGGAAGCGATGAAGACCGCTGCGAAGGGGCTGTGAAGGCAGAGAAAACGTGGCCGCCGCCAGCGATACCCGGCGAACGAGGTCGGAGAGGGCGGAGTTGCGAGGTCTGCTGTGACGGGAGCGAACGGGAACGAACGGAGTGGTTTTTTTTATTAGGTTAAAAGTTTTGAGGTGGTATATTAGTAAATAAGTAACTTTAGGTGTTTAATAGGTAAATATGATAGTTTTAAGTGTTATACATGTAAAAACCCCAAAAATATATGGCATGCGTTCATTGATGCATGTACATGGCAAATCAAGCCCATCTAATCAATGCAGCCATGATCAAAACGTTATGCACCCCTTTTGTGCGGAATTCGAACGGGAAGAATCGTTCGGACATGTGAGTATCCACACTGTTTATAAATTTGTGCACTGTATGTATAAACTTTTTGTACACTATTTATACATAGTGTGTACGCTCAAAATCTAGACGATTCTTACTAAATTTTCGCACGGAATAATTTCTCCTTCTGATATTCGAAATGTTTTAAAATAATTTTATATAATAAACTTATTGCTTAGAAATTATTGAAAAAAAAAATCAAATTGAAATTTCTAAGTAGTTAAATTAATAAATTAATTTCATATTTTAAAGAAAACTTTATTTCATGTCAACCAATATATACCAACTTACAAGCAAGGAGCATTAATTTAGATCACTTACCAGCTTATGATGATCTTTCGAAGTTCAAAATAGAGGGCTTTGTTAATTCCCCTAACATGGTAAGCTTCTGTAATGAATGCAGGTCTGAACAAAAGTGACAGAATTGGAGAGATAGGAGGAAGAAGTTTCTATCTCCGAACTAAAAGCAGCAGCCATAGTTTCAATTCTGAAAGGGAAGAAATTAATGGTATTGGCCGCTTCTGTACTGAAGTAAATGAAATTCATGATCAGGCTGCTACAGAGAGCCTGAACTCGGCTGTAGTGATTTCTTCTCATCCCTTCTTCACCACAATTGCCAGAAATTTCAGTAAGATTGAAAGGAGAACTAAGAAAATTTGCAAAATGGTGGCCTGTTTTCTCTGCGTTTGATCCCTAACTGTACAGTCTGAGCTATTTTATACCATTTTTCCTGATACGTACTTACTTACCTGGAAGCCATTTCTTTTACTTTGATGGCTTTCTAATACAACACGTAAATATTACATTGTATTGTTCAAGAATTGTACAAATGTAAAAGGAATGTATGTACCAATGGTCACTGAAATAAAAAGATAATTGGTTTCTCTCTCTCTATCTCTCTCTCTAAATTATTATGTGTGCGGTCATCGGACGGTCCGAAGGCCAATAAGGACACTCCACGTATTCTGATACACAGCGGTACATAGTGACGGTACACAATTTAGTGACGAAGTGGCGCGTCCTGATTGGCATCCAGACTGTTCAGTAGTAATATAGTAAATTTAGAATGTCTAATTGTGTTAGAAAGTTCAAATTTACTGCATAATTACTTGAATTTTAATATATATGATTTTATATGCCACATATCATTGGTAAATTGTCCTTGTTATTTATTCTCTTGAAGAAATATGCATAAAAGAATATTTCACGCGAAGTTACCCTTCTTGTATTTATGAATGGTGTATGCATCATAAAAGAAATTAGTTTGAAATAATTCAAATTCAAAAGGGATGAAACTTGCTTTAATCTGAACATGATTCGGATCAAATTTGAACCTAGATTCGAATCTAAGCATGTCATGAAGGTTGTTGGGGAAGGTATCGTGGCATCGTGGCGTGCGACATAGCTCACTGGGAAGGAATTTATTACCTCCGGTATTCGGATTCGTCCGGATACCAATCCAGATGCGTCACGTCACCCAGATACACCCGAGGCCAGGTGTATCTGGGTGATGTGGCGCGTCTGGATTGGTGTCCGGACGGTCCGGTCACTGGACGTAATAATTCGCCCAGTAGGAAACACAATGGAAAGAATGAAGCTCATTGGAAAAGGTAACACCATATCGGTGGAGTTTTGAACGATCGAGTTTTAACAATCTATAAAACTAAGGTTCAAATATTTAACAAATTTGATATTTTTTGTGTTATAAACTTTAATAACTAGCCCTTAAATATAAAATGAGATAATTTTATATGAATTAAATTTTCATATATAGTTTTTCAAAAAAAAAATCATGTTTGTATTTTTCCAATTAAGTGTTCTAACGTATAAATAAATAAATATATATATGGTCAACAAATTATATCTGGCTTTTATTTGACCCACATAAGAACCGGACTCGAACTTCACTTGGCAGGTTAAGATTCTGCACCTGACATGGGGTTCGAACTGTAGAGGACCTATTAACATCCGTGCAAGTCAAACATTCATCTCAGGTCAACTGGTTGGTGACGTGTGTGACGTCACTGCTGACTGGAGGTCCTGCGGGACCCACAACAGAAGCTGCTGACGTCTTAAAGATTGCGATGCTTAACATGTCGGAGGACCCGCGGGAGCTGCTGATGTCAGCAACTGATTGGAACCGCACAACTGATGTAATGGGTCCTTCGTGTTAGCGTGTCAGAGGCAACTCAGAATCTTAACCTGGCAGGTGCACTTCGAACCTGATTAAAATCAGGTACATGAAACCTGATTTTAATTCCACTTTGCTTCAATTCGCAAATAGTCAAATTTTTATTTATAACATACGATAATTAAATTTCACTTCACTAAATAATAATTTCTTAAAATAAAAATATTATTTATTTTAATTTTTAATAGATAATCACGAATATAAAAAAAAATCATCTCTTAATAAAATTTTTAATTTTTAAAAATAGAGAAGATTTTCCCTCAA